ACCCTTTGTTTTTTCTCCTTCTGAGTTTCTTTGGCACTGCATATCGATGTTCATCCCTGAAGAAGAGCTGAGCTGTATGTATATCTCTGTTGCTGCTGCTGCTGCTGCTGCTGCTGCTGTTGCTGCAGCAGCAGCAGCAGTGGCTCTCTCTATGGGGGCCCCCATTCAAAGGGGCCCCCAGGGTACCAAAAGAGGGAGGGGCCCCGGGGGCCCCCCCCTCTTCTGTGTTTCTCCTGGTTGACGTTCTGTAAGGATATTCAGCTGCATCTTTTGCTGCTGTTGCTGTTGCTGCTGCTGCTGCTGCTGCTGTTGCTGCTGCTGCTGCTGCTGCTGCTCTGGTGCTTGATAGAGCTGAGGGGCAGCGAGGAAGGACGGGGGGCCCCGAGTTTGCTGCAGACAGGCGGGGAGGGGGGAAGCGCCCATGTGCTGCTGCTGCTGCTGCTGCTGCTGCTGCAGGAGGAGGAGGTGCAGCAGCAGCTGCTGCAGCTGCTGCAGCAAAGGGAGATGGAGGAGACAAAGAAACGCAGCAGTCAGAGGTAACACGATCCCCGCTGGGATCGTCGGGGACGGCATACGCCCCACACGGGAGACAGCGCATTGCAGCTGAGACCTCGCATGGGCTGCTGCTGCTGCTGCTGCTGCTGCTGCTGCTGCTGCTGCTGTTGCTGCTGCTGTTGATAGTGATACAATGCCCGTGACGAAAGTGATGGTGGCTATGCACCCGGTGCTGCTGCTGCTCCTGCTCCTGCTGCTGCTGCTGCTGCTGCTGCTGCTGCTGCTAGTGTTTAGGGGGCTTCCTGGGGGCCTGTAACTGCTGCTGCTGTTCGTTGATGAGATGGTACCGCCGCTGCTGTTTCTGCTGCTGCTGCTGTTGCTGCTGCTGCTGCTGCTGCTGCTGTCTGAGCGGGGATCTGTGTATCTTCCTTCTCAAAGCAATATGCAGCAGAGAAAGAATTTGTGTTTTGTTTATAGGGGCCCCTTCTCTCCTAGTTGCAGCCAGCTGGGGTGTATAGGCAGCTCAGCTGCGCGCGAGGCCCCGGTGGTGCTGGGGGTTATATATATATATATATAGCGAGATAAGAGCTTTGGTTTTTTGTTGTGTGAAATAAAATAAAATAAAATAAAATTAAATAAAAGAATTATAATTAAAATTAAAAAAGAAAAAGAAATATAATAACTATAAAAAGAGGTAGCTGTCTCTTAGGGACCGAGGACCGGACCACTGGGGCCTCCTTTTTTCTGTTTTTTTTTTTTCTTTTTCTTCTGTGTTTGTCTCTCTTTATGAAAAAATAAATATAAATATAAATATAAAATAATGTTATTTCACTTCTTTTTACTTTATAAATATAAATATATACCCGGATGATAGACAGAACTGCTGCCGCACGGGCACTCAACAGCTCGCCGCCGATGCACGCAACTGCTGCTGCTGCTGCTGCTGCTGCTGCTGCTGCTGCTGCTGCTGCTGCTGCTGCTGCTGCTGCTGCTGCTGGTTGCTGCTGCTGCTGCTGCTGCTGAACACCAGAGCAGTGTATGAACGCAAAAAGATAATAGTTAAATTTTAGGGTTAATATCTCCGCCTCACTCTTATAAACAAAACTGCAGCAACAGAATCTATCAGTTTAGGGTTTAGGGTTTAGGGTTTAGGGTTTAGGGTTTAGGGTTTAGAGGGTTTTGGTTGAGGTTTTAGGGTCATTGCTGAGGGATACATATGCGTAGGGTTTGTGTCTAGAGATGAGGGTTTAGGGTTTAGAAATAAACCCTAAACCCTAAACCCTAAACCCTAAACCCTAAACCCTAAACCCTAAACCCTAAACCCTAAACCCCAAGCCCTAAACCCTAAACCCTAAACCCTAAACCCTAAACCCTAAACCCTAAACCCTAAACCCTAAACCCTACCCTAGACCCTAAAACCTAAACCCTAAACCCTATACCTAAAACCCTAAACCCTAAACCCTAAACCCTAAAAGATCGGAAGAGCACACGTCTGAACTCCAGTCACCGATGTATCTCGTATGCCGTCTTCTGCTTGAAAAAAGCTCTGTGTTATCTTAAAACTTGGGTTCACAGCTTCAACTCAACATGAGGAGGGTTTAGGGTTTAGGGTTTAGGGTTTGCATGTAGCTGGGGCTGGTGTCTCTCCCCGCTCCTTCTGCGTTTATATAAATGTTTATATATATATATA